CATGGTCTTCTATTCAGTACACACTCATCTATCAGATAGAAAATAGGTTAATCCAAATAATTGTGAGCAGTAATTCCAGGGAGATTTAATTTCAGTTGATTTGTATTCTAAACTCAGGGGCATGTGTAAACATGGCACCTCATACTATGTGTGACCATAGACACTTGTTTTCAAACCACATTTACACCAATAAAGTCATAGTTTGTAGCTTTGATGAGACTTTCATGATATATTGTAACCAAAATTCCTGCAAAGGCATTCAGCCACCACAGTCTGAATGGCAGAAAGGCTATAATATATAATTGAACTGTCATGATGAAATAATGGATATGATTATGGTGAGACAGCTATCCTAAAGGCAAGGGGTTGATATTAAAGTTACTAATATGTCTATTATAATGCAATTTAATTTTTTTGTGTTGCTTTCAGATGGGCATCAGTGGCTTGATAATGAGTGCTGGTTATGCCGTTATTGGTATTATCTTTCTTCCACCCATTACAAGTAATATCTTATTGGAAAATAGAAGTGAACCTGTTTTTATTTTCTCTTGGGTATGCTTTAGTGTCAGCCTGATTTATGCAGGTCTTTGCTTGGTTGTTCCAAAGGCACTGAATACACCCCCAGCCATTATAAGGTATCTTGCATATGGAATGTCACATATGAAATGTTGGGGACACTCCATGGAAGTAAGAGGAAGTGAAGCTTGTAACTGCAAGAACATCAATATATTCAGAAGAATTGCTGCTGTATGTGAAAATCTGAAAAGGAGTGATTCCTTAAGGACAAATATGATACTCATGGTAAGTGAGTTCTCCTTTACCCTTATGTCTATGTATGTATAAATATATACATATCTATATATATTTATATATATATTTATATATATATAAATAATTATATATATATATATATTAATATATATTTATATATATATTTATATATTTATATATATATTTATATATTTATAAATAATTATATATATATATATTTATATATATTTATATATATATTTATATATTTATAAATAATTATATATATATATATTTATAAATATTTATATATTTATATATTTATATTTATATATATATTGATGAATGTCTTGATGTATACTTATATATGCATATATATTGTGACTGGAACTTGACTGCCAGTGCAGATACAAATGGTATATGGTTAAAACCATTGTATAATCCTAGTCTGATACATATGTTTGTTATCATAACTGTTTTCTACTTTGGTATGAATTTAAAAGAGGTTTAATCTGCTCTTTACAGATTCTGTCCTTTTTGTGTATAGTCCTTATATCAGCTGAATGGACCTATAATGCAAGTTGTGTGATAATGCTGTTTTCAGACATAGCAATCTTTTACCGAGCTTTTCCCGCACTGGTCTCAGAACTATCTTCCTGTGTTTGCCCAGTTGTTCAACCTCTACAGGTAAGTAATATTTTTTGATGTTTCAAAAAGCAGTGTGATCAAAGATTATATTATAAACTTTATAATTACTATAATGTTATAAACATTATAACAGTAAAATAAGATAACGTAAAATATTTTTCATAAATCAATGAAAAGAAAAATGTAGTTATATAGGCTTCCCTATTGCAAAATAACCTTCACTTCTGAAATCTAGAGTTTCAGTGTGCTAGATAGTCCAATATTTTTTGTAAGTCCAGAATGTCTGTCACTTTTTCATTAATTAATCTTTTTATTTTGTTACAGATTATCTGTCTGTATGTCTTGGAGACCATGCCACTTTTTGTGGGCCTCATCTATAACTACTTCACTTTACACTCTGGTGCAATTTTAACTGCTAATATCTTGAACATCATACTCATCATTTTCCAGGTATGTAATTTTTCAAGTATGCTTTCACATGCATTCATAATTTCTTTTAACTTGGGACATTTACCAATCTAGTGTTTGAGAGTTCAAGCTTCTCTTTGTTGTAGGTGATTAGGACCCCACCGATTCTAGTTTACAGGTTAGGTGGTGACCTATACAGCCTGCACATTTAGGGTATGCATCATTTGACACTTGGCCACCATATTATATTACTATTGTTTTATTTTGAGTATACCATTATTTAGTAACAAGGTATATGTGTTGACAAACAGGCACTCGTATGAGTTTCTCTTATTTATAATTTGATTTTATCCTCCTCTCTCTTTTTGTTTTTTGTCTTATCCTACTTCTTTTTATTCCTTTTGTCATATTTGTATGTAATCTCAAATATATTTTAAAATAATAAAATCACTTATGTATTAAATTACAGAGGAATTTTATATCTCATTCAACAGTTGTACAAGGTGCAGACCTATCCTGAAGTGAAGGCAGAAATAAGGGCAATGCTTGAGGCAAAGAATCCAGAGAGAGGGAAAGTACAAGCTTCAGATGATGAACAGCCTCTACATAAAGTGACTAGCCAAACTGATGATGTAGAAGGCAGTGAAGACAGTGTTCCTTCTGATAAACAGTAAACCTGTTTGATATTGCAGTCATTATTGCTGCAATTTGAAAAATCTTTCTCTTTTTAAAGGATTTTCGGATAAAGATTTAGGCATTACCATATTATTATTTTAATCTTTCATTTCCTGTACTCATTATATTTACTTGTGAGTTAGTTGTGTTACACATGCCCATGAATCTGTTTTAAATGTCTGAGTGTTACCACTGTCAGGACCTAGTTTTTAGGAATTCAAATTTTGTCCCCCCCCCCCCCTGAATTTCTACTGATAATACTCAGGTGTGTGTGCATGCGTGCGTGTGTGTTTGTGTTAGGTCAAGTGTGCGAATGAGTGCATGCTTGTATGCCACATGCATGGATTCATGTGGTCTGGTGGTGTGTGATGTGGCATGGTGTCTGCATGTGTGCATTTGTGCTTATGTACATGTACTTTTGTTGGTTTTGTAGATGTTTGGTACCAATCACACTAAGGACTACAATAACTTAAATTGGAGAATTGGTAAATTATTTTGAATGTATCCTGCAATTATTATTTTTTAAAGTAATTTAGATAAGACATTTTCCAGGAGTTGCACTACTTTTATCTTGCCAGTTCAGTAGGCATTGGCAGAAGTTAATGCTTGTGTGCACCTGGGAACTTGGTGAAAAATGCTTTATTTTTGTCTAGAGCATGAATGAACACTGTATATGCCATATACTTAGCAGGTGAATGTATATTCCTATTCACTGGCTGCATGGATTATTACAAAGTGAAATAGTATTGATAAGGCTTTTGTCATGGTATTTGCCGTTAGTCTTTATAGTGGAAATTTACGATACAGAAATATAACAATGTTTTTGTAATTACACTTTTTAACTCTTTAACCCAATGGCGACGGGTGTACAAAAGAAAAAAAAACTCTACGCTTAAACAAACAAAGGCGGCGTGCCGACTTAGAGCGCGTGAGTAGGGGACATCAGCCCGAATCACTGGCTCGCCGCGCTTTGGTGCGCCGCCGGCTCGTTTGGCTGCACGCCAGCTTTCGAGCTCTTTGTTTACACGCCGATCGGCGTCACCTGGCACCAAGGGGTTAAATATAGCACAAAATTCCAAAGTTATTCTAGTCTTCTTAACAACAGACACTGTCTCTGTGTTCAAAAGATGAATATTCATTAGTTATTAGCTTACTGTTTAAGAATTAATTAATGAGATTTATTGTATTGCATTGAAAATACTATTTTTTGTTATATTCTCTTGCTTTCCATATGTAAAACAATAAGTATTACAATAGAATGCATATTTCTTATAAAGCATGCCTTTTTCTAACCTATTATGTATATCATATCTTATTGTGGGTGTAACCATTCTTCAGCATCATTTAGTTTTGATGGGAATCACAGAACCAAAAATAAGTCACATCAGTTAACTGATTGCCACTAAAATGAGTAGCATTAAAACTAACCCCTGAATTTAAACACAAACCTTGGGCTTGAGGCAAAGAAGTCCTATGTAGCAACAAGGGTATATTAAAATTACGCAAAAGCAACTCTAAGGTGTGCCTCATGTCTGAAACCAGAGTTTCAGCACAACAAATTATGTCAAATTTTGTTGAGTTACCTACAGGTTCATTCAAATTCCCTTGAAGTCCATGAATATTACTAAAAAGTAAGAAGTAATACTTTGGACAATTAGTTTTAAATATCTTCAAGTGTTGAGTTGGTTAGGAAGGTCTGAGAAACAAAAGTTTTCTCATGAGGGAGAGAAGAGGAGACAAGCATCTGAGAATTAGAGGAAGAGTTAGGTGGAGATGGGGTGGACCGTTTGGATTGTCTGCTATGGATAGAGTGAGGAGGGAAAGGGGTAGCTGTCAGGGCAGCGGTAGAAATTGAGGTGTTTAGATTTAGAATGGCAAAAGAATTTGACTGGAATTGGGGGTAAAAGTAGAAATGTAAGATGGGGGATACAGGAGGGGATGTAGAAATATCTTGGGAGGAAAGTGGAGGGGTGGAGTGAAGGCTAGTATTGGAGTAGAGATTGATTTTGCTTTAGCTTGGGAATCAGATGTGACTGTGTCAAGGTGTGAATGATTAAGGTGACTGTGGAAGGATACTTTGCATACTTGTTTTTTAAAACATTGTTGGAAGAGGAGTGTTGTCAGAGTAAAGGGGGGATTACAATTAGGTTGAAGTCTGGGGTGAAAGTTATGCCTCAAAATGAGAGCCATGTCTAGAAGAACGCTGGCTCCAGGGAGGATGCTACTTCCATGCTCAGGATCCTATTCCTGGTAGCCGTGACTGGCAGCACAGCTTCTATTAGAGAAAACTGAAAATTATGAAAAAAAGACAAACAACAAGATGATCCTTAATGTTATTACAATGAGTCATGGAATACCTAGAGATTATATGGCATCTGTGTAAAGAAAAGTCTCTTACATCTAGACAAAGCAAATCAGATAAGAAATATAGACACTGGTAAATGGAAGAAAGGCTAAAAATGCTTATTCTGCAAAAGACAAAATAATACTGCAAAGGGGAGGCATGGAGTCTTATAGTC